GTAATTTGTTTAACCCAGCACTAATATTTAACATTACTGACATTTGCTGACACTAGATGTCAAAAACATATTCCTTCAGCATTTTTTCAACGAGCTCCTTCTCCTGAGCTTTCCTGCTCTGGATCTCTGGCTGACAACAGGTGTTTCGTTCTGAGAGCAGCAGAGGTGGTAGAGAGAATATCAGAGAGAGTGTAATGTGAAGCTGCCACAGGCCTGAGGACCAACCCAGAGTGAAGATGTCAGCAGCCATTACACTTTATTAAGTTTCTCTTTATCTGTGTGTGTTTATGCTTGTACTCAAACTGCTTTATTATTGACTGCTCAGTAACACAGGCTCTTGTTTACTGTTGAGCTGCTGTGTGTGTGTGTGTGTGTGTGCGTGCGTGCGTGCGTGCGTGCGTGTGTGTGCGTGCGTGCATATGTGCGTGCGTGTGTGCGTGCGTGTGTGTGTGCGTGCGTACGTGTGTGTTTTCAGTTGCAAGATTGTTTTTGTGTCCTGATATTGGCTCAAGCCTGCTTATCGTTAGCTGGTGCCCTAATATTAGATAACAAGAGAAAAGAGAAACAAAGAAAAACACAACACAGGAACAAACTCAAATTTTTTCACCTTATTGACTGCTCACTTTGATTTTAACAATCTCACACACGTATAGACACATATACTTCTATAACACAACAACTTCAGTTGGGTGCTCATTTCTGTTCTGTCCCCTTCCAATGAACGAACAACACGTGTGTGCGGGCTTGTTTCGTCTCATGATGTTAAGGTCGTTCTCTCTGTGTCTGGTTGTCCTTCTTGCCTCTCGTCTTTATAAAGAGTGTCCTCTCTCTCTCGGTTCTCCAGACATGCTCACATCATGAGCAGCGTCTGATTGGCTGGCAGGTGTTCATCAGAGCAGGATATCTTAAAGGTCCCATGTCATGCTTTTCCGGTTATTACCCGTCCCCTTGTGTGTTTTTCTGCATGTAAACGGACTGCAGAGTCACAAACCCTCTAAGTACACCCTGTAGCGAGTAAAGGCACAC